ATTTGCTCAAAAGTTGCCCTTTTTTTACAATTTGCGTTTGAATATCTACATTTATTCTCATTCTTCTGTTTAATGGAATGCACAAACACAGCAGCGTGCCATCAAAGATGGCGTCTCCGAGGAGGTCATGTGACATTCATTGGTCTGTGGGAACTATGTATTGGATTAAATGTGTTTGTTTTATGAAGTCTGCCGAGGCTCAATGCCACCGCTGTGGACGATGAACATATGTTTTAAAGACCAACACTTGTACCGGGGAACACTGCTGATTTGATTTTACGTTTACACAACATGGATTATTTGACCTCACTTTTAAGAAGGATTTTGGGGCCGTATTCCTAAAGATTCTAAGAGTCCTCTCAGAGAGCTCCTAACTTAACCTAAAAACTCCTAACTAGGAGTCTTAGCTTAAAAGTTATTCCAGAACACTATTAGAGAACTCTGAGCAAGGAATGGACTACAACTTTTATCTTAGTGAGGAGGCGTGGCCGACCCCGTCGCTAGGTATGAGTCATCATTTCAGACGCTGTGATTGGTTGATCCTAAAAGTTAGAGAACTTATTTTTGATGATAATGGGCAAAGTAAGGGCCCTAAAATGGACAAACTCAATCATGGAATCTAATCTTAGGAAGACTGTGTCATTGTGAATAATAGTCAGAAAGGTAGAAAGTCAGAAATATCAATGTTAAATTAATATTGTGAACAGTAAGTTAGACTTTTACACCACATCATGAGAGTTCGCTCAGCACCAATTTATATATATATATATATATATATATATATATATATGATATATATTAAATTATTATTATAAATATATATATTAAATTATTATTATAAATATATATATTAAATTATTATTATAAATATATGGATAAATGACGATAATGATAACGTTAGGATTAGTAAAGACTGATACTGAAAGAAATATAAGGAATTAAGGAAACAATATAAACATATTAGACATACACTGTACAAGTCAAGGTCATGTTATTATAAATGTCACTGTTGCAAAACTGTAAATATACCACAGAATAAACTGAGCTGTGCAACCACATCATTTAAGTTCATTTAGAATGAGAAATAGAGAGTGGGAGTTTAACAGTCTTAACTTCTTCTCACTCCTTTTGAGCTGGATCGTTGTTAAAGAAGCTATACCCGATTTTTTTTCTAAGTAGTTCATAAAAATGCTTTTTACTACATACAAGTTGTATCATAATACATAATTTAATTGAAAACTTGAGGTCATTGATTCCACTGTGTATGAAATTCAGGCAGTGAAAAGTGCTGAGTAGAGTCTGAGCGGGACATTCTCCTCCACTCACAGAACAAGAAGCGACCAGCCTGTGTCCTCTAGTCTCTACAGCCTGTGTCCTCTAGCCTCTACAGCCTGTGTCCTCTAGTCTCTACAGCCTGCGTCCTCTAGCCTCTACAGCCTGTGTCCTCTAGTCTCTACAGCCTGTGTCCTCTAGCCCCTACAGCCTGCGTCCTCTAGCCTCTACAGCCTGCGTCCTCTAGTCTCTACAGCCTGTGTCCTCTAGTCTCTACAGCCTGTGTCCTCTAGTCTCTACAGCCTGTGTCCTCTAGCCTCTACAGCCTGTGTCCTCTAGTCTCTACAGCCTGTGTCCTCTAGTCTCTACAGCCTGTGTCCTCTAGCCTCTACAGCCTGCGTCCTCTAGTCTCTACAGCCTGCGTCCTCTAGTCTCTACAGCCTGTGTCCTCTAGCCTCTACAGCCTGTGTCCTCTAGCCTCTACAGCCTGCGTCCTCTAGCCTCTACAGCCTGTGTCCTCTAGCCTCTACAGCCTGTGTCCTCTAGCCTCTACAGCCTGCGTCCTCTAGCCTCTACAGCCTGCGTCCTCTAGTCTCTACAGCCTGTGTCCTCTAGCCTCTACAGCCTGCGTCCTCTAGCCTCTACAGCCTGCGTCCTCTAGCCTCTACAGCCTGCGTCCTCTAGCCTCTACAGCCTGCGTCCTCTAGCCTCTACAGCCTGCGTCCTCTAGTCTCTACAGCCTGCGTCCTCTAGTCTCTACAGCCTGTGTCCTCTAGTCTCTACAGCCTGCGTCCTCTAGCCTCTACAGCCTGTGTCCTCTAGTCTCTACAGCCTGTGTCCTCTAGTCTCTACAGCCTGTGTCCTCTAGTCTCTACAGCCTGCGTCCTCTAGTCTCTACAGCCTGCGTCCTCTAGCCTCTACAGCCTGTGTCCTCTAGTCTCTACAGCCTGTGTCCTCTAGTCTCTACAGCCTGTGTCCTCTAGTCTCTACAGCCTGTGTCCTCTAGCCTCTACAGCCTGTGTTCTCTAGTCTCTACAGCCTGTGTCCTCTAGTCTCTACAGCCTGTGTCCTCTAGTCTCTACAGCCTGTGTCCTCTAGCCTCTACAGCCTGCGTCCTCTAGCCCCTACAGCCTGCGTCCTCTAGCCTCTACAGCCTGCGTCCTCTAGCCTCTACAGCCTGCGTCCTCTAGCCTCTACAGCCTGTGTCCTCTAGCCTCTACAGCCTGCGTCCTCTAGTCTCTACAGCCTGCGTCCTCTAGCCTCTACAGCCTGTGTCCTCTAGTCTCTACAGCCTGTGTCCTCTAGTCTCTACAGCCTGTGTCCTCTAGTCTCTACAGCCTGTGTCCTCTAGCCTCTACAGCCTGTGTCCTCTAGTCTCTACAGCCTGTGTCCTCTAGTCTCTACAGCCTGTGTCCTCTAGTCTCTACAGCCTGTGTCCTCTAGTCTCTACAGCCTGCGTCCTCTAGTCTCTACAGCCTGCGTCCTCTAGCCTCTACAGCCTGTGTCCTCTAGTCTCTACAGCCTGTGTCCTCTAGCCTCTACAGCGCTGCTTAACACCAGGGCTTCGACTTCAAAATTCAAATAGAATTCTAAAATAAAAAATATATACATATTTGAACAAATATTAGACAACCCTTATAATTAGAAATGTATTTAATGACTGCAAATAAAATAGTTAGCTCCCAAAGGTTTCACCGGGACGTGCTAGGCAGGTAACAGCTAAGCTAGCTAGCTGTTTCATGGTAACTTCCGGGTTTTTCGCGATCGCTTTTTGTCACTTTAAAAAAGTATTTTTGTCATGAAAACGTTGACAGCTAATTCTGAAATCGTCCGTGCATGTGTGTTAAGGATGTATATGTGTACTGTATTGTCCGATTGACGTTCAATGGTGTTGATTGATTGATATGTATTTGTTTATTGAGCGTGGCTAGCTCTGCTAGCTTCTCTACACAGCCAAGTGTGCAGAAAAACTGCACAATGTAGTGACAGGCGCTGATAGCTTGTTGTACTTGCAGAGTAATGGCAGTATTTTACACACCTGAATTACAAACAGAGACTGCATTGGGGCTGCGGTCATTATTGGTTTGAGAGTTCTGTTATCAAGAAAAAATGATCGGAAGAATTGCATTCAAGTCAATGAAGTGTTCTACTGCTGCTGTGAGGAGCTGTATAATAAATTATAATTAAATATTAGAATATATTCTAATGTTTAAATTAATACATCCGGACGCGAAACTAATGGTATTCTTTTACTTATATATTGTGTTAGCAGTGCGTTGCTTTAGTACCATTTCATCAGTGATTGTTGCACAGCTTACAAGTTGCGCTAATGCTAATGTTATGTTGTATTTATAAATAAGTGACATTCTAAAACCATGTGTTTTATGATCTATCGACCTCTGAGTGGCAGGCCAGTCCTTTTAAGTTAATTTTAGGGGTCTTCTTGGGGGACCAGCTAAATAACAGGTGGGTTCTTCTGTTTGGATTTTGTCTGCCTAGCCTTGGCCCCTGCTGACTTCTGCATTATTGAACCCACTCCATCAGGAGTGGGTTGACACTGGAGTCTGCCAGTCTACTCACTACTTATTTAGACAAGCAGGGATGAATCCAGACCAGAGACAGCTGCCCGGAGACACGTAGGTTAGAAAAGCATGAATTCTTTTTAGGTGCAGACTGGAGACGGAGACCAGATGGGGGAAGGCGGATCACGGGACCCTGGAAGCTGCCTGATACCACGCCCCTTCTTCCCCATGCACATTTTACTTATAGTAGATAGTTTGAATGAGTGGTTAGTTAGTTTTTTCTGGACCAGGGGCAGTGTGTGACTTGATGTGGAGCGCCCACTCAAAGTCATACTTTTATATTTTATATAGAGAATAAGGGATAGTTACTTTTGGTCCGAACAGCTGTTTTAGATTCTTTTTGTATTAGGGAAATAAACCTTTTTGAATTTAACTTTCTGAATCATGGTCATCTTTATAAGGGATTTTGAACACGTCATTTTTTAATACGTTAGTTAGCATACGTATCACATCGCAAATAAAACTAGGTGGCTCCGTGTTATGAGAGCGTAGGGGAAATGAGAAGCCTGTGAGTGAGTTGGGGGCGGTGCTAAACATTCAAACATTGTAGAAACGGGTATAGCGCCTTTAATAAAACAAAACAGTATATTTGTACTTTTTCTATTCTGTTGTTGTCCTTTTTTCTTGTTTACCGTGGCTTGAAATAAAGTATTCATTCATTCGTACTGAATGTGTGAAAATGTAGGCCCACTTGCACAGTATTAACACAATAATAGTTATATTTACTTGCTTTTATTAATTACCAGGCTGGTCATTTTTTCTCTTTCAACTTTCACCATTTCTATCTACTTTTGTG